TTTCAGGTTTCTCTCCCCAGTACTTCAGAAAATAGCAGGGGAAAATTGCAAGATCATAGTTATTGCTCCAGCATGGCCGAAACAGTCTTGGTTTCCAGACCTTCGGCGCCTATCATGTGCTTGTTCTCTAGTTCTACCTCTGATACCAGACCTTCTGTCTCAAATCAAGTGCAAGGTTCTTTATCAAAATCCAGAAAAAACTTCATCTACACGCCTGGCTTCTCTCAGGGTTAGCCTCAGAAAGAGAGGTTTTTCTGAAGGAGCAACCAAGCATCTCACAAAGTCTGTCAGAGACTCCACTACCATTGTCTATGATGCAAAATGGTCAATCTTCTCAGATTGGTGTAGTGAGCGGGCAATTGATCCTTTCCAAGTCACTGTACAACAATTAGCAGACTTTCTAGTTTTTCTTTTTGAATCCAAAGGATTATGTCCCTCTACTATTAAGGGATATAGATCAGCTATTTCAAGAACTATTCATATTTCTGGTGGCCCAGATTTTGGAAACAATGAGCATATTTCTCTTTTGGTTCGTAGTTTTAGTCTTGAAAGACCAAGACAAAAAACTTTAGTTCCTAAATGGGACCTTGGACTAGTTTTATCCTTTTTAAAACTTCCTCCTTTTGAACCAGCAGAAACAATAGATTTAAGGTTTCTTTCCTATAAATGCTGTGTTCTTTTAGCTTTGGCTTCTGGGCGGAGAAGGAGTGAAATCCATGCTTTCTCTATTTCTGATGCTTGCCTTCGATTCAACAGGGAGAAATCTTCTGTTACTCTTTTAACTGATCCTGTTTTTTTTGGCAAAGAATCAGATTCCAGATAAGGGTGCAGAACCAGTCGTGATTCCTGCACTCCCTAGCGATTCTATTTCTGTTCTTTTATGTCCAGTAAGAATCCTTTCTATTTATCTGGATAAAACGAGTAGTTTACGTTCTGTTTCTAACTCAAGACTCTTTATTCCTATTAAAAAAGGAATCTCAGATCTTTCTGTTAAAACTATTTCTACTTGGATATGCAAACGCATATCTTTAGCTTATGGTTCTTCTAAGGCAGAACTTTTAAATAGTTTTAATGTTAAAGCTCATGATGTTAGGGGTATCTCTACATCCTCGGCTGTGTTTAACAGTGCATCTTTAGAAGAGGTACTGTCTGCAGGTTTCTGGAGAAATGAGAACTCTTTTATATCTCATTACCTCCAATCTATGGCTACTTTTGCCGAGAGCTTATACTCTCTGGGACCTATAGTTTCAGCACAAAGATTGAACTTTCCTCCTGTTTCTTCTGTTACATGGGATTCAGCTTTACGTTAGATTCTGTTACTCAGAATTTATGATGGTAACGTATTTATAGCTATAAAATATTCAAATTTTAAAGTAAATTTGGATTTTATTAGATAAATACTTACCATCATAAATTATAGGTCCCACCCGCCCCCCCTTCATCCCCTTTCCTTACGTTTCTGTCTTGAGGAAATTGAATGGGAGAATATGGGCAAACAGGGGTATATGTCCGGACCAGTGAGAGTACGTTTATTTTTAGTCGGGATTTTCCATCTGACCTATGACGCAATTGGGGTTACACTCAGAATTTATGATCGTAAGTATTTATCGAATAAAATCCAAATTTACTTTAAAATTTGAATATTTCATTTGCGCCACTGGGTTTTATTTCAATTGCGCCACTGGGTTTTACTTCATTGGCGCCAAAAACAAATATTGCTTTTGCGCCAATTTACAGATAAGATATAACGTACATGTATCGTATCCGGCTTAATACGAAGTTCGTATAAGACATGTTCAGTGGCGGATCCAGAAATTTTCATAAGTGGGGGCCCACTGACTGCCTAAGAGGGGGCCCGCTGCAGTCATGCTTCAGTGATTCCCTATATAATTAACCAAATTTTTCCCACAAAAGGGGGACCGGCCGCCCTGCCCCCCCTAAATCCGCCTGTGATGTTGTAGAGTAGATAGATAGATAGATGAATAATTTGATCAACCAATCAAGGTGCCCTTAGGGCAGATTAATTACAATGTAATTATTCATAACAAATAAATAAAGAAACTAAACAATAAACTAATCAGACTATAATGGTTCATTACAGTGATAATTGATCATAATTTTAGTATAAAAATAGTGAGATTTTTTTTTTCTTTAGAATATGTTCAAAAATATTGAGGATATCCAGCTAGATTTGGACAAGGAGAGACAACTCCATCCTTCTAATATTTCCGGGTTTTGATTTAGTAATGAATCCCGATTTTTTGTTAGTTTAGATATCATATTTAGTACAAGTTTTAAAACATAACTTTCTTCATTAGTCATTAACCATAAGAATTTATCGGCCCCCATTGGGTAAGTGAGTGAATTCATACTCACTTCTCATACAAAACAGAGGATCACTTAAAGGTATAAAATTGTATAGTGTTCACATATTCGAGGTGACAAAATGGACATATTTTATTCGGAGACATAAAGAGGAGAAAATACGTCTGTAATTTTTTAAGACCTTACATTTATGATATCTTATGTATTGAAAAACGGAGACAAATGGTATAGATGTACCCCTAAAAAGTTGTAAAGCCAGAATCACAACAGAGATGGACAGCAAAACCATTTAACAACCACGGTTTAGACGAGAAAAAAATACAATCTCAATGTTTTGTATTTTCATTTTGGTTTCTTGATGAATGTGATTTATGATGACTATGTTATATTTAGCTATCAAAACTATGTTGTAACATTATTATTAAAGGGGCACTAGCTACGAGATATATAAAAAATCTAAAGTATGATTTTTTTTGTTCAATCATTAATGAAAGTGAAATAGTGAAATAATAATTCGCTTTTAGCAGCAAGTATGGTTCAATTTTGTCAAAATAAGCTAAGAAACATTGATGATGAATTATTCACTTACAAGTGAATAATTCGACCTCATTGAATCCGTATTCATGTGAACTTCAATTTATCCCTTAGCTAGAGATGGATAACGCATGCATCGTGCGTGATTAGTTATTTAAAGCAAACGAATGTCATCATTGAAAGTGAAACAAAGATAAATCATTTGATTGACAGATTCGATCCACAAAAAACATTCTTATACAGGTAAAACCCATGATTAACATATATGTTTAATCTATAATATGAAATTAAGTAGACCTAGAAAAATCCAATTGCACGAGTTCGCTTAATCTATTTATATCTATATTTATGTTTATATCCCTTATATGGCCATCGGAGGTTTTCGGAGGTTAACTCGATAGTTAATTAGATGGCGTCTAGACTAAAATATACACGAAACGAAGCTACATATTATCGAGCCCATGCCCTGTAAGTTGGTTGTTTTAGACTTTTAATAATTTGGATAAATGTTTTACATTGTTATAAATCAAATATGAGAATTTGAGTCAAATCGGTGAACATGAATTTGACAGCTAGTGCCCCTTTAAAAGTCTCATTTCAATTTAGATCTATTATGTATACTCTTTACCTGTACTTGGCGGAAAAGCAAAACACCGCACAATCAATATGGTCATCGACATCATCAAGTGGGTTTAACTGCAGTTCTTTCTTTTTGCCGGTTTTTTATATGTAAAGTCATATAGAAAAGTATATCAGTTGTTAAACAACAGGACAAAATCCATTTAGGGGCACCGGCTGCAATTTATCAGCTTGGCGTGACAAGGTGATTATGTTGCCATATAAGGAAAAAGTGAAGCGATTTATAAAGTACATACCTGTCGCTTGGAATTCATTTGTTGAAAACTTTTGCATTCTTCTATGCAAATTATAAGTGTGGTATACGTCAATATACGCCAATACATCAACATAAAATATCCAAAAAAAAATTGAAAGCTATACAGTTTGTATTATATAAACATTTGATGTGGAAATTCGTATTTTGACCTCCTGGTATCTTTAGGTTTTGTGTTGTTGGGTCGAATGGGTAACAATGTAAAACTAGGTAATCAGAGACTCCCGCGAGCGCATCATTATACTCTTAAACAGTAAATATCCATATATACACTGTCAAAATCGAACGTGACCTGTATAGTATAGACCAGGACGTTGCGTTTGAATCCAAAAAGATTCTGTCAATTAATTGGGACATCCATAAATAAACACAAAATCCAAATCATATAGATGTTTAGATTAAGATCGATAAATAACTTTGATCTGCTGAGTTCAGTAAGCCGTTTGCAACTGATTTTTACAGTTTGTTCTTATGTTGTGCTGTTACAACAAAGGGGATTTGAGCGCCCACAAACATGTTAACCACGCCACATTTTTCAGGTGCCTGTCCCAAGTCAGGAGCATGCAATTCAGTGGTTGTCGTTGGTTCATGTCTGTCATATTTCTGTTTCGTAAATCAAATTGTTATTAATTAGGTCGTTAGTTTTTGTCGTTTGAATGGCACATGACATTATTTCAAAATGTTCTTCCAAGTTTTATTTTAGTCATAATTGTCGAGTATAAAACATAATTTTTGTTTATGATAATTAAGGGCCATTATTCTTGTACGTAAAATATCCGAGCCAACAAAATAGAAATTGGCCTCTTTTGTATGGTCCATCTCATTGTGTTCAATGTACTTTAGTTTATGACACCAAAACCAAAAGTGTGACGGACGGGAAGATATATGTGCATTACTATTTACCCCTTTCACATACAAAGCTAATAGTATAATAAATCAAGGGACAGGAGTTCATGGCTTAAGCGTATCAAATGTCCTGTATCTCGTTTAATAATACATTTAAACAGAACACTATCATGTTTCGAGTCATAGATTATAGATTTTAAATACACACGTCATTCATAAATAGATATTTACTGTAATCACGTGTCTCAAAATAAAACGAAAGCATTTTCACGATTTAGTCAAGACATTTTCATTTTTTGTTGCAAATAAAGAAAAATTGAAACTTCATATTGTTGATAACAAAATGAATTAAATTTGAGTTAAGCTTCTTTTAAATTTTACTTTCGTCTTTTGTGTGTGTGTAAAATAGGATGCAGATTAAGGAAGTGAAATTATAAGATATATTTCCATATGTAAACACCTGGGCATTGTGAAATGGCTGCAGCTATTGTTGGCAAAACAGAAGTAGGTGTGAATGAATTCGGACGAGATGTGGAAGTTCCTGAAAATCCTATAGCAAAACTAATGTACTATTTTGATAGTATTTGCTATGCAATGGATATGAATCGGCAGGCAAGTCCGGATAAAATTCAAAAGTTGAGAAATTATTCTCGTTACAGGCAGTTGACTGATGATGATAGGGATCTTCTTTTGTTGCTTTGCGTTCGATTTTCTCCTGACGAACTTATAAACAAATGCCTTTTCCTAGACGACGAAATGTGTGGCAACGACATTAACAAGTTTTACAAACTGGGAGCCGTCCGTCATCGGTTTTTGATCACAGAAGAAATCATTATTGGCGGCCAGACTACCCATGTCAAGCAAATTCTATGCTTTCGAAAAATGTGGTTGGAATACTGCTATTTGGAACCAATGAAGAATGTTGAGAAAGAATTGCGATCTATTGCTGGTAAACTTACAGGTAGACCTCAATCCGGCGCAAACAGAGAAACACAAGCGGGAGCTGTCCAGCAGCGTAGACCTCGCCCAGATGATGCTGGACAACAACAGAGACGACAACTGAGGACACAACCTACCCCGGCACCACCTCCGCCACCAGAAGAAAAGAAAAAAGATTGCGTAGTAATGTAACTGAAATGTGCGGGTTAGATTGACACTGTAATTATCAGTAGAAGTTATTTGGTTTCCGTAATTGTTATATTTGGCATGCATGTATCTATGAAAAACGTATTTTTTCACTCTATATTTATTGTTGAGGAAATTTAAAGATGAATAGCCAATTGTTTCATGTACAACCAAATTAACCTAATTTGATTTTTAAACTTCCTCATAACGTCGATGGTAGAAAAGGGCTATTTACGCGCACACTGCTCTCTCGATTTATATCATGTATTTTCTTATTGAAAGACCGTTTATCGTCGTGTTTGGTGTAAACACTTGCAGCGCACAGTTCATGCCTATACTTAGTTTCCATTCATTTCAAACTTCAGCTATTGTTACATATCTGTTGTCATCTGTGACACAGAAATGCCATAACGGCCAACCAAATAATGATACCGTCCGTTTACAACATTCCAAGGGATGACTTCCAACTTTACCACTCAGAACCCTTGGTTCAATAGCTACCTTGTAAGCAGCAATCATCTATTAATTAAATCCTGATGGGGAAACACAAGCTCTAGAATATTGTATCAACTGGGGGATATATACTCTTTATGCAGGCGCTGTTGGAATGTTGCTACATAGAAATGAAAAGTTCATAATAGGAAAGCTAAATCCTCCCTTTTGTCGTAAAGTTAAGTCTCAACTGACCCTTTTTGTTGATTTCCAGATGTAAGTCAAGATATGAGACAGCATAAGTGTACCTTTGACATACCTTATTTCAAGTTTGGTGGGATAGAAGCGTTCAACATAGTCATTCAATTTTGAAATATTTAGTGAGAGGACACCATCTATATAGTGGAACGTGAAGTTAAAGGATAATGCTAATTTCTTTTCATTCTTCCTGAATTGCTCCCATATGAAGTCAATCTGCCACATATGAATAAAGGAACAATTCTGCAACAAGAAAAGCACAATTGGTTTGCAAAGGAATGCAGATTGTCTGTTGAAAAATACGTCATCCAAACGTATCAAATATGATGTGTATTAAAAAAAAAAATTTGATGTTGTAAATATTCAAAATTATCAAAATATCGAAATTTTACATTTTGTTCCCAAGGTATAATCTAGATGTAGTAAATCCTGGCCGAAGAAACCAGGTGTTTTTGTTACGTTAGATCCGGTATTAAAGAGACTTAAATTTTCTCCCTAGAACTTAATTTACGTTCGAGTCTTATAATAATTACAGTTCCTCACCTTCATCTGTATTTTTAGGCGGATTTAGGGGGGGGGGGGGGCAGGCGGCCCGGGCACCCCTTATGGAGCTACATATATGGTAAATGAATATACTTTTTACAAGCATCAGTCCAAACGTTGGCTAACTAGCCCCCCCTTCCCTTTTCAAAATCCTGGATCCTCACTTGAATTTGTGAAAATGCATCAAAATTGCTTGTCAACAGCAACAGAAATTCAACAGCCTTAAATGACTTTAAATTTACGGATAAATGTAAAATTGTCAATACATTTTTAAAGTGCATGTATATTATTTAGACTTGTATTAATATTCAAATATATAGGTTTCATCAACGCTAGGTTTTCACCATAAATCAAATGAAATAAATATATTTGAAATACACCTATCTAAACTTAAATTGATATTAACCACTGCTATTAGCCATGTAGAATCAATGTTCATCATTCGTAATTAAGGTACTGTTAATACATGTAATTTGAAAATTGTAGTTATGAATATCAAGTTTATAATGCAGTGTATTTCGTAGGAAAACATTTTCTATTGAAATTTGTTTTAGTTTTTACTAAATAACAGACTGCAATCTATAAGTATTGAATTCTAGAAACTCAGCTTTACGAGAACAGATTTGAAAACAACCATACTGTATGTAGACTATTGCAAGGAGTATTCCTAAATATCCCCTGTCCTTTTTAAATCAGGAACTTGTGAAAGGAGAATGTTACTTTTTTATATAATTGTTAAACATTCATTCGACTTTTGGTGGTCAAGATATAAAAAAAATCAGCTTTGTGGTTTTAATGTTTAAAGGTATCCGAACCTTACTGTTTCAGCGTTATGTTTCCTCTCCCCCGAACATTACTGAATTCCTGGCAATTTCTTTGTGGATAAAGTAGTATTTTTATGGTATGTCAAAGTAAAACAGACTTTTTGTATCATAGATTTTGAGGACTTAATTTACATATCTGTTACTCTAGAAACGTGTATATCATTTTTTTGAAGTACATTCTGTCTTTTAATGGTACATGGACATCAATTTCAACTTTTGAGAAAATACGTTAAATTTATTTTTGGATTTAATTGAATTATGTCTTTGAACAGAGGTTTTAGAGAGGTCAATCAAATTTCAAGCCAAAAGGGAATGGAAAGGAAAAGAAAAGGTTTCTGTTTTTTCTTGAATAGCAGAACTTGAAATGTTATTATTAATTCCGGGCATTGGACTTAAACATGTACTTCAAAACAAACGTAGCCCTTCTCTTTGACGGTAACATGGTTGTGTATTTGTTTTTATTAACAGAGAGCATATCATTGTTTATATTTAGTGCATATATATTTTTTGAAGTTTTTATTATTTGCGATTGATTGTAATATTTGAAGAGATTTTATAAATTTCAATGATTAATAAGTTTACTTTTTAAATGTTAATACTTATATAGTAGTTATATTAAAAGCATGTACACGAAGAAAACATAATTTGTTCGTTAAATGTACCTTTTCTTCCCTGGAGCATAAGTCTCTGATCACTTCGGTTTCAAGTAGTTTAAAATTCTTTATGTCTTAAAAGAAACATAACATATTGCACAGTTGTTACCATCGACATTACAAACTTTATTCATATTAAGCAGTGGTATCCAAATTAAGCTTTTCATTCATAAGAGCGATCACTCCGAAAGAAAATTGGAATTGAAAAAAATCAAAGCACATGACACGGGCAAACAACAACTAACAGTGCTAACTTATAATTAACATCTCATGCAAAATTGTTTATCACTTCCACATGTTCATTTGCCTCAAGTCAAAAACTTTTTCCAATTCTTGGTTTTAGTTATATCGTAACTAGTTTTTACATGTAGGGATTTGGTGTTGATGGTAAACCTTCAATTGCCTCTATTAAATTTATCCACATCACAGCCGAATTTAAGCAAGACATTTGTCTCTTATTGACGACGATCTTTTGTATTTTTATTATGTCATGTGTAGTTAAATCATCATATCAATCTTATTTTGGAAAAAAGATGTTATACCAGTTGATTTGGAATGACCTGCATAATTTGTGTAAATGCACACTGCCGAGAACACTCGTCGCCAAAATTATTCATTCTGGAATGCGATAGTAATCGTAGAAGTAAAGCATTTTGCTTTGCAAATATTCTTCCTTACTGATCATGCCATATCAATAACACCATTGTTTCTTAGTTATTCAAACCATATATTCCAACGGACAACTTCAGAAAATTGTTGCATAACTGTAACGTCGCTGTTTTGGCCGTTCTGATTGGTTTAACATCATTTACAAGATCGCCGATACTGCGAAACTTCGGTTAAGAGGACCCGAATTTCTGATTGACCCCTCAAATAAAATATTTAAATACGATATGCTTGTGGGTGACCCAATTATATCAATTATACAAAGAATGAACATGTGAACCAACGTTGGGATGTCTATCTCTAAGATGCTGTCACAAGAATAGGCTCTTGATTTGTAAATTTATGCAACAGTAGTTTTGTTTTAGAGAAAGTTGAAACACCTGTGTATAATCTATTTGTCCTTTTGGACAAAACAATATGTTTAAACAAAACAGTAGTTTACTGATGTTCAAATCTCATCAATCGATTCAGACAATTCAAGGTAATAAATAAAAACTGAAGGAATCGCATGAACTTAAAAAAGAAGCGACATCGGATGAGTCGACAGGCTAAACGTCTCATGCCAAGCATGCATCACCCGCCATGCGAATCCATACTTAGTCAGTATGACACAATCAAGGATGGCCGGGACACAATCTGTAAAATTACACTTGGGTGACTATTATGGTATCTAAAGATCTAAGAAAGCAAAATATATATATAAGTAGAAACACAGATATATCTTATAGGTCAACAATCTCACGATGGTGACCGCTAAACGTATGAAGCGTCGATTTCAGTCGTTCTACCTGTCGGAGAAGTTTCTGTGTAAAGAGTTCATCTCTGTTAATGAGGTCAGTATATATATTTTGAACATGCACGAGCGCAATGTATCAATTGAGATATGTAAACGCCATATGAGATGGCATAGAGGGTATTTTACTGTTGAGAAATGAGAATTTGACAATTAGAAAGTTGAAATCATCACTTTTGTCTAAAATTCTAGTTTGAAGTTTTCCATATGTGTAAATATCGAGGAAAGGATCAAGATATATATATATATATATATATATACCTGTTAGTCAAATACGTTTTGTGAAAATATACATTTTCACTTTTTTGGTCTTTTGGAAAATGTTGTTTGTGCTGTATTTAGACCCCTCTAACAAGAAATTTGTTTTGCATGCACGTATAAAAATTGCTGTTTTTATCCAACGCAATCATAGGTTTGAACGTTGTTTACAATTTAGACTTGTTTATATTTTTTCGTTTGGGCTTGTATTATATTTGCCTTCGGGTTTATATGATCCGTTCATCCTATTTTGACTCCTCAAAATTCAAGAGTCTATCCCAAATTGAGGTAAATTGTATGGCCTTCCAAATACCGTTTCGATGCCTAACATCACTGAAGAGACATTAATTGTCGAAATCCGGATATGGTGTACAAAAACCTTTGCACCTTTTGTTTGCGGTATACCATCTTTTCCGCAAGTTTTATTGTTTTTTGTTTAGTATTAAATTTATAATTAAGATCCATTTATTACATCGGTGATCCGTTTATTTGGCAATCGCCAATGGCAGTCAGCAGGGTTTGAGAACATTTGTTGTTCGACCTGTTAGTCAAATGCGTTTTGTTAAAATATACTTTTTCACTTTTTTGGTCTTTTGAAAAATGATGTTTGTGCTGTATTTAGACCCCTCTAACAAGAAATTTGTTTTGCATGCACACGTATAAAAATTGCGGTTTTTATCCAACGCAATCATAGGTTTGAACGTTGTTTTCAATTTAGACTTGTTTATATTTTTTCGTTTGGGCTTGTATTATATTTTTCCTTCGGGTTTATATGATCCGTTCATCCTATTTTGACTCCTCAAAATTCAAGAGTCTATCCTAAATTGAGGTAAATTGTATGGCTTTCCAAATACCGTTTCGATTCCTAACATCACTGAAGAGACATTAATTGTCGAAATCCGGATATGGTGTACAAAAACCTTTGCACTTTTTGTTGCGGTATACCATCTATTCTGCAAGTTTATTGTTTTCTGTTTAGTGTTAAATTTATAATTAAGATCCATTTATTACATCGGTGATCCGTTTATTTGGCAATCGCCAATGGCAGTCAGCCGGGTTTTAAAACATTTGTTGTTCGACCTGTTAGTCAAATGCGTTTTGTTAAAATATACTTTTTCACTTTTTTGGTCTTTTGGAAAATGTTGTTTGTGCTGTATTTAGACCCCTCTAACAAGAAATTTGTTTTGCATGCATATATATATACATTCTAGTTTGTTGTCATCTGTACTATTATTTGTCTGTTTGTCTTTTTATTTTTGGCCATGACGTTGTCAGTTTGTTTTCGATCTATGAGTTTGACTGTCCCTATGGTATCTTTCGTCCCTCTCTTCTAGTTTCGGAAGTGTCCTTCATCTCAAAATTCCTGGGATGCGGTGCATTACGTTTGCGCGCAGCTTTTGATTACATTTGAGCGCATTCTTTTTCAGGAAAACTCAGGTAGATACAGGTAGATTATACTTGTTTATGTATTTAACTATTATTTTCGTGCAGGATAGGTCCGTTTTATTATGTACACGCACTTAGTCCTGGAATAATATACAGGTGAAAATGCAAAAACAAAGTAAATGAGAAGATTAAAAGTACTGGTTTAACATGTCGTCACGTACACAAAAATACATGTAGTATGCTTGGATTCTGCTGACGGTAGTGATGCCCGAAGACCTGGAAGAAAAAGGGAATCTGTTGAAATACCTTTGCAATTATTTACGGTGCATCGCTATGAAATATTCCCCGACTTAAGTGTTCTGTCGATACGGAAAGTAAATCAAATCCATTGTACAAATGACACCCAGCATTGTAATGCGCCCCTGGGATGCAAGCACTCACTAAGGCGGTTAAATTGTTATATCGATTTTTTTTATTAATTAAATTATGCTTAAATATTTGATATTATTCTATTTTAATGTCATTAATATAGTTTTTTTCGTACCTGCGGTTCTCTATCTCATTTGAATATACCAACGCGTTTTATTTACATAACTGTTATCTTCTATTTTTGAATAAACAATTACAATAAAGACTTCGTTACAGTTAAACCAGAGTCAACAGTTTTAATTATGTAACATATCTGACCTCTATGAATTACTATATATAGTAAAATGAGATAAAAGAAAATACAGCGTCTATCAGATCAGACAGACACGTGTTATCTCGGTCGTCTTATCTCGGTCGCCATGGATCACAACATTCTTCTCGCTGTTCTATTCTTTGTGTCAGGTAAAACTAAAAAGAGTCCGACATCGTCATTCTTGTATTGTACTTTCTGTTAAGCTGCACAACAGTCTTTATATATCTGTATACTAGTTATTCATCAAATGTGTTTTCTTTACGATTTTTATACCATGATCGTTTTATTGACACAAGTTTCATGTAGAACAAACAAAGTGTTTGAATACACAGTTTCTGGAATGAAAGCGGTTGTTGTTTCTTGCATATATGCATATAAAGTTCAACGTGATGTACAATATTCATCGACAAAGATTATTATTGATTTTTGCTTTTCAGAAAATAAAAAATCGAAAGGGAAGTGAAAGATACCACAGAGTAAAGTGATATTCAAACTCATAGGAGAAAACAAACTGACAATGTCATAGAAAAAAAAACGAAAACCGGCGAAAAGACAAACAACAGTACACAAAACACAACATAGAAAACTAAAGACTGAGCAACACGAACCCCATCAAAAACCGAGGGTGGTCTCAGTCGCTCCGGAAGGGTAAGCAGATCCTGCTCCACATGTGGCACCCTTCGTGTTGCTCGTGTAAGTATAAATCCGGTGATAAGTTTAATTCGGTAGGTGACATTCACGATTGGGACACATCCGTCGTCATCTGTTAAAAAGATATACCGAAGAATTGATTTTAACTTCACCACTTGGAACTTTCCTTGTGAGCAGCAACCCTCTATCACGGAAATCATGATAGGAAACGTAAGCGCTGGAATATCTTATCAACTGGGAGATATATACTCCATATACAGGCGCTGCTGAAATGTTACTACATAGAAATTTAAAGTTCCCAATTAAAAAGTTGAAATCATGTCGTTTTTCGTAAAGTTTTGTTCTCAATCGTCTCTCTTTTTCAATTTCTAGATGTAGGTCAAGATATGAGGCAGACTTAACTGTATGTGTTGTATCCTTTATTTCAAGTTCGATTGGATAGATGCGTTCAACATAGTCACCAAACTTGGAATTATTTAGTGAGATGACATCATCTATATAGCGGATAGTGAAGTTAAAGGATAATTTTTGAATTTTCATTGTTGTGTATTTTTTCAGTGACGTTTGCCTGCCCTTCAGGATTTTCCACTCATGAAAATAACTGTTATGTGCTACTTCCGGTTCCAACTACGTGGGCGGAAGCTTTGGTAATTATAGAACTTTACTTTCATCCCTGTAATGATAAGAATACCATGTATATCGAAACACCACAACTATTGCTCAGTACTATTATCATACTTTTTAAATGGCTTTCTGAAGTTTAATGTTCAAACCTTCATCAAATAAGTCAACTTTTAATCCTCATCTAAATATTTTTTGAAAAAGATACAATTTTCGGTCTGTATTTGAGCATTATAGTAGGAAATTTTTCACTTACTTTGGTTTACATAGTGTAAAACACTTACTAATAGTCAGTTAACAAATTTTTAAGTATCACAAAAACACTGATACACCCAATTTTAATTTAAATCATAACACATAAATTTGTTAGAATTTAAAATCTGATCGACATGACATAGGATATTGTATTGTTCTTCTTTGGGTATACATGCATCCAAAAGTCTGAGAGAAACAAAAACACTCGATTAACTAATAAAAAAGTCTATAGAAATAACAGAAGCAAATTGAGGTTTATAAGCACAAATATGTATCATTGATTTAATATATATCCAGCGACTTTGTGATGCAGTAAAAGCAAAATTAGCATGGATAAACAACGCCGAAGAGAACACATTTATTGTTCAGATGTTGAAAAAAGCAAATAGTAAGTATATTCAGGAATGCTGATCGGATAGTTAGATGTATAGAATGTAGACTCTCAAATGTCATCAGTATTGTTTCCTCGTCACAGTATATAACCTGGTTGACAAAATTTATTTTCTTTTGTCATCCCGAAACCTCTATGCCTAATGATTTTGTTTTAATCAACTGTTTTTGTAGAATGTGTAGATGTTTTTCAATAAGATAATGAACGCACCAAAATGTTATGCTCATAATCTATGGCACATGTAGTTTCTGGTTTTAATTCCAATTAATGGTGTTATCCAGTATGTAACATACATTATACAGGACCATATAGGAAATACATGTTAACAGCTTTACTTAAAAAAAAACAGCTGTAAAAAACAGTAACAAAAACATAGCGGTAAGATTGAAGAAATAAATCGGAAAACAGAAATGGACTTTATATTAAGCAATCAAAAAAAAAAAACAATATTTTTACAATTTGTGGTAAAACCATGCTCGGTTGCTGGATACAATTTTCTAACCATCACCTTTATTCTTTTTTTTTGTACTAATGTTTATACTTTTGTTATCCATGTTCGGTAGTAAATATTCTTTAACAAGAATAATTAAAGAAATGTACCCATTTATCGTGTCTGTAAGGTCTGTATCGCCAACCATAATGCCCATTACTTAAACAAAGGATGACTAAAGAAATGTACCCATTTATCGTGTCTGTAAGGTCTGTACCGCCAACCATAATGCCCATTACTTAAACAAAGGATGACTAAAGAAATGTACCCATTTATCGTGTCTGTAAGGTCTGTATCGCCTTCCATAATGCCCATTACTTAAACAAAGGATGATTAAAGAAATATACCCATTTATCGTGTCTGTAAGGTCTGTACCGCCTACCATAATGCCCATTACGTAAACAAAGGATGATTAAAGAAATATACCCATTTATCGTGTCTGTAAGGTCTGTACCGCCTTCCATAATGCCCATTACGTAAACAAAGGATGATTAAAGAAAGGTACCCATTTATCGTGTCTGTAAGGTCTGTACCGCCTTCCATAATGCCCATTACGTAAACAAAGGATGATTAAAGAAATATACCCATTTATCGTGTCTGTAAGGTCTGTACCGCATTCCATAATGCCCATTACTTAAACAAAGGATGATTAAAGAAATGTACCCATTTATCGTGTCTGTAAGGTCTGTACCGCATTCCATAATGCCCATTACGTAAACAAAGGATGATTTAAGAAATGTACCCATTTATCGTGTCTGTAAGGTCTGTACCGCCTACCATAATGCCTATTACTTAAACAAAGGATGATTAAAGAAATGTACCCATTTATCGTGTCTGTAAGGTCTGTACCGCCTACCATAATGCCCATTACGTAAACAAAGGATAATTAAAGAAATATACACATTTATTGTGTCTGTAAGGTCTGTACCGCCTTCCATAATGCCCATTACTTAAACAAAGGATGATTAAAGAAATATACCCATTTATCGTGTCTGTAAGGTCTGTACCGCCTTCCATAATGCCCATTACTTAAACAAAGGATGATTAAAGAAATGTACCCATTTATCGTGTCTGTAAGGTCTGTACCGCCTTCCACAATGCCCATTACTTAAACAAAGGATGATTAAAGAAATGTACCTATTTATCGTGTCTGTAAGGTCTGTACCGCCTACCATAATGCCTATTACTTAAACAAAGGATGATTAAAGAAATGTACCAATTTATCGTGTCTGTAAGTTCTGTACCGCCTACCATAATGCCCATTACGTAAACAAAGGATGATTAAAGAAATATACCCAATTATCGTGTCTGTAAGGTCTGTACCGCCTTCCATAATGCCCATTACTTCAACAAAGGATGATTAAAGAAATATACCCATTTATCGTGTCTGTAAGGTCTGTACCGACTTCCATAATGCCCATTACTTAAACAAAGGATGATTTAAGAAATGTACCCATTTATCGTGTCTGTAAGGACTGTACCGCCTACCATAATGCCTATTACTTAAACAAAGGATGATTAAAGAAATGTACCCATTTATCGTGTCTGTAAGGTCTGTACCGCCTTCCATAATGCCCATTACTTAAATAAAGGATGATTAAAGAAATGTACCTATTTATCGTGTCTGTAAGGTCTGTACCGCCTACCATAATGCCTATTACTTAAACAAAGGATGATTAAAGAAATGTACCAATTTATCGTGTCTGTAAGGTCTGTACCGCCTACCATAATGCCCATTACGTAAACAAAGGATGATTAAAGAAATATACCCATTTATCGTGTCTGTAAGGTCTGTACCGACTTCCGTAATGCCCATTACTTAAACAAAGGATGATTAAAGAAATACACCCATTTATCGTGTCTGTAAGGTCTGTACCGCCTACCATAATGCCCATTACTTAAACAAAGGATGACTAAAGAAATATACCCATTTATCGTGTTTGTAAGGTCTGTACCGCCTTCCATAATGCCCATTACTTAAACAAAGGATGATTAAAGAAATATACCCATTTATCGTGTCTGTAAGGTCTGTACCGCCTTCCATAATGCCCATTACGTAAACAAAGGATGATTAAAGAAATATACCCATTTATCGTGTCTGTAAGGTCTGTACCGCCTTCCATAATGCCCATTACGTAAACAAAAGATGACTAAAGAAATATACCCATTTATCGTGTCTGTAAGGTCTGTACCGCCTTCCATAATGCCCATTACGTAAACAAAGGATGATTAAAGAAAAATACCCATTTATCGTGTCTGTAAGGTCTGTACCGCCTTCCATAATGCCCATTACTTAAACAAAGGATAATTAAAGAAATATACCCATTTATCGTGTCTGTAAGGTCTGTACCGCCTTCCATAATGCCCATTACGTAAACAAAGGATGATTTAAGAAATGTACCCATTTATCGTGTCTGTAAGGTCTGTACCGCCTACCATAATGCCTATTACTTAAACAAAGGATGATTAAAGAAATGTACCCATTTATCGTGTCTGTAAGGTCTGTACCGCCTTCCATAATGCCCATTACTTAAACAAAGGATGATTAAAGAAATGTACCTATTTATCGTGTCTGTAAGGTCTGTACCGCCTACCATAATGCCTATTACTTAAACAAAGGATGATTAAAGAAATGTACCAATTTATCGTGTCTGTAAGGTCTGTACCGCCTACCATAATGCCCATTACTTAAACAAAGGATGATTAAAGAAATGTACCAATTTATCGTGTCTGTAAGGTCTGTACCGCCTACCATAATGCCCATTACGTAAACAAAGGATGATTAAAGAAATATACCCATTTATCGTGTCTGTAAGGTCTGTACCGCCTTCCATAATGCCCATTACTTAAATAAAGGATGACTAAAGAAATGTACCCAATTATCGTGTCTGTAAGGTCTGTACCGCCTTCCATAATGCCCATTACTTAAACAAAGGATGATTAAAGAAATATACCCATTTATCTTGTCTGTAAGGTCTGTACCGCCTACCATAATGCCCATTACTTAAACAAAGGATGACTAAAGAAATAAACCCATTTATCGTGTCTGTACGGTCTGTACCGCCTTCCATAATGCCCATTACTTAAACAAAGGATGATTAAAGAAATGTACCCATTTATCGTGTCTGTAAGGTCTGTACCGCCTTCCATAATGCCCATTACTTAAACAAAGGATGATTAAAGAAATGTACCCATTTATCGTGTCTGTAAGGTCTGTACCGCCTACCATAATGCCCATTACTTAAACAAAGGATGACTAAGAAATGTACCCATTTATCGTGTCTGTAAGGTCTGTACCGCCTACCATAATGCCCATTACTTAAATAATGGATGCATTATGATTATCCTAACTCGTCCTAAATCAAAGAGAAACCAAAGAAAAGATACTATACCTGCGGTACTCGTGTATTGCTTAACTTTGTGTGAATTACTGCTTGGTTTTTAAGAGAACACGATCGTTTAAGTAGTTGTATTTTAAAGAGTAAAACCAATAAGAATTATTTCAAATCAAAGCAGTATATCATTTAAGGTTTATACATGTTTTAAAAGTACAGATGCTTTTTGGTTCACCGATAAAAGAACCAAAATGACGTTATATCCTTGAGCACAATACGTATTTATTATGGGATATCCATCATTGGTTCCAATAGTAGTCAAAATTTTAAAAAGACAAACTTATAAGAGCAAACATACCAAAACGGTCTTAAAATAACTACCAAAACCGTCTTTGCTTGAAGAAGTTGTAACCTAAGTTTTAGCAAAATTACATAATTTCATAAACTGGAAATTTATAAAACACTGATGAATTGTTTAAATCATGGCAATAATGGTTACTGGTGAGGTGTGGTAGTTAAAAACGATTTATATGCTTATCGTGCTTAAATCACTTGTTTCTAAAAAAACATTCACAAATTAATCGATTGATTTTTGTTTGCTCAAATTCTATCAGCAAAAATTTCATACATGTTAAGGACGAATACAAATTAACAATACATATAAAAGATTGATTATGCAATAGGGAGTTGACCGGGGTGATAGGGTACAATTTTGAATGCCACTGAAAAAGGAGTATATATTCGATTGAGAGAGAAATTTAGCCTTGCAACTGGCGACCTACGGAGCACTCAAAGAGTTTTTGTAAAGGTTCATAATTTGCAGAAAGCGTGCCACACCAACCTACAAGAGGCATCAGACTCATATGGACCGAACATAGCTGCGAATTTATACATTCTGCACAGCTAAACGACGACTTACTTGTTCGAGGGTTTTACTGTCGGTCGGTAGAAGTCGGAATGACAATATTTCTATACCCCAGTTAGCCCATAAAGTTTCATTTATAAATGCAAATCAATGATTTATTTTTTTGTTAGCATTGTTATTTGGTTTTTTTTGTAATTTTTTTTTTGTCATGGTTTTGTCGGTTTTGTTTTTCTTTTTTTTATTGCATTGACATCTTTTCTTCCTTTTTGCGTTTACAAATAAAACACTTATAATCATATTGATACACATTAATAATAACCAAATACTATATTATAGCAACAGGTCCTTCAGTAGAGGTGTGGTTGGGAGGAACAGATATGTTACTTGAAGGTATGTGGATGTGGGCAGACAATATGGAACTGATCGAATACACTCACTGGTTTCCGAACGAACCCAACAATGCAGGCAACAATCAACACTGTTTGGGGATGATGGTGCATCAAGAGTTTCAGTGGGATGATTATTCATGTGACCTTAAGAATTATCCCTTGTGTAAAAGGATGTAAGTCTAGTTTTCAAAGTGGACACTTTTCTTCTTTACCTTTCCAGAAGAAAAAATCCTACCTTTTTACGTTGATTACATTTTGTAACAGTTGTGGTCTGACATAATTTTTAAATTTGAAATAGAAAATTTTGTGTTATAATTATCAACGTGTTACAGAATTACAGAACAATAACGCTATCAACACCTTATTTCTGATAAAAGGTGATGGAATACTCCCATAATATTGATCTGTTGATTATTGAATAAACTTGTTTTTAGAAAGTTTTATTTTAGATTATTTTTTTTGAACTGCTATTCAGAGTATGATAATATTTAATATTTTTATATTTAGGAATATTTCTATAGAGTATTATAATTCAAAAATTTAATTTTGAATGTAACGCGTCTTCTGATTGGCTGACGTTGTTTTGTTTATCAGCTCATAGACATAATTTTGTCATGTGACCGTGAAGTCATCAACGTTTTTTCATGGTTTACTCTCGTTTAAAATGGAATTTAGAATTAAATTATAAGAAATGACTGTAATATTTTTTCTGTCTATTCGAAATAACATAAAAAATGTGGTGCACACTTTAAAATAACTCGCTACGCGGGTTAATCAGTATGCACCACATTTTTGATGTTATTTCTTCATAGACAGAAAAAATATTACAGTCATTCCTTAAATAATGTACCACATATTCAACAGTTTAACTGTCGGAAACTAAATGGTAATTAATGTAACGCATTTCGTGTGTGAGAGTTTACAATAAAGAATTCGAACTTGGACTTAAACACCAATATATCTAGCGGTTAAGAAGGAGTTGTGCTTACAATGAACATGGACAGACAGATAGACACCGACATAGAGACAGACGACGATTCCTATATACCGATAACCTTTATTTGCGGGGGTCTAAATCTTATTTTTGCTTTCTAGTAAATGAAATATATCTCTTTTACAGGCAAGGCGATGGTGAACAGACAGTAATTGGATGAATGAATCAAATAAATCAATAAACAAAAATATATTTTGATTGTCAATGTAGTACACATAAACTCCCTTAAAGTTATATGAGTTTCTTCAAGAAAGGTTTTTGCTAAGAATCAATTGCAGGTTTTAACATCCGTTGCAATTTAACACTAAATATTTGATGAGAAATCATAAGCAATTACTTGTACAACTCTAATTCGACACCTGAGAAAATTGTTGGAACCATTGTTTACTAGAACAAAGTAGCACTGGATACCCTGTAGTATATATACGAATGTTTCCTTTTGTATTGACATTTAAATTGTGTAGAAATATTTAAGCTAGAATAAGAATATGTAACATCAATACTTCAACTACTTAGTATCAAAGTAACAGTCGCCTTTTTGCATTCTGCGTTTCCCATTCTTTGTAGTATAATGGTGTATGCTCCAGACTTTGGCGTAAATGTCTTTGACAGGTAGGTTCACAGAGATGTAATATTCGTGTCAATGGATTAATATACATAGGATAAACTTTTCTTAAGTTCTTACGGACACCATCAAATGCTGTCTTTTGATGTGTATGATGAATTTATAGAATGATTACTAGGTCTTTGATCCCATATGTTTATTTCCCTGTGTTGACATGTTCTTGATTTTTACACTTGCTACAGAGCACGCACTAAGAGGAATCCCAATACAGATGATGCACGTATATATGAGAGACTTACCATGACGATACATCGAGTGTAATTTTGATTGAAATTTATGTGATTTCAACTCGAAGAGTCACCCTAAAGTTTTTCTATCTACACTTCAACTAGTACAAAACCGACGATTTTTTTACATTCTATTCATAGTTACCACCGAATAAATGAAATGAAAATTCAATTAAGGAATATAAACCAAATTTGTTTGGATTATAGCGACAACCCTCACAGAGGTACATCCCGAACTTAAAAACTACTCCGGCATTATTAGTAAAAGAACAATTAATTTATCACTTCATAAGGTCTACGCTCTCCACCACAATTTAGTTAGTCTTAACAGTGCTCCAGTATGTCAGTTTATCAATACTATATCAACCCTTGCTGTCATAGAGTTCTCACAACAGACATGATCGCAGGTTTTGATAATTTACGATTGGTAATGCGCACAATTATTTATATGTTTATCCCATGATTTTTGTTTTCACCTTGACTTGTAATTAATGAAATTGTCATGTATATACATCCTTATATTTGGTATTCGACAACAGCTTTCATAGCCACCGGATATTGAAATATTGAAATTTGCTTAGTAATTATAAAGTTCATTGATACCAATGATAATAAGTAAACAGGAAACAAAATTTTAAGCAAAAGGTGAATCGGTTGAACAAACGTGAAGGCTGAAACGATTCATACTTGATCGACATTATCAGCGTCACAAGACCACTTTGAATGCTTTGTGAACACTACATATGACCAATACAAAAAAAGGAGAAGTGGTATGATTGCCAATTAAAAAAAAGTATCCATGAAGACCAAATGACAAATATGCGAACAATTACAAGTCACCGTATAACCTTCAACCTTGAGCAAATCTGTACCTTTTATTCAGCTATAAGTCCCCGGGATAACAAAATGTGAAAAAAAAACCAACAGCACGATTTATGCTACAAGAATAAACGGAAATCAATGATAGCGACTTGATTACCGGCTTCTGGCTTTGGACAGGCACACGAACTAGTGGCGAGATTTAACATTTTTGTGAGGCTCAAACGTCCCTAACACGTGACAGTGATGTTATAAAATACTAGTAACATACAAACAAATTGTAAAAATAAAAGAAAACTAATATTTTCGAAGCCAACCTGCCTAAAACATGTTTATTAAATAATGTAAAAAGTTACTTAGTACGTGATGCAACATTTAAGTGTCGTCACTGCGTTAGAAATTGAATCCGGTGTCTGTTATCAGGAAGAATCCTTTATTTTGCAAGCACAATACAAGAAAAAGTTTAAAAAATTCAAACAAAACGAAAGAAAAGATTAGATACAATTTTCTATTGCAATGCTTACCTGGTAACCTTCGCATACATTTATTGTCCCGTCCAATGGCACTTTCATTTCAAAAGCTTGACATTAGTTAATTAACATAGATAAATTAAAGCTTTTAAAGACTTTTTGAAGTGGGAAAAGCAGAAAAGGAATCCTTTTTACTGGACATTTTTTTTATGATAAGTTCAATTTATAAATCAATGAACATTGACAATAAATGTCACGTCTTAAATAGTCTGATATATGACTTAAATCTTTCAATGCTTTACAGAAAAGGGATAGACAGAAAGTCAATAAATTACACAGTATCTTATATTTAATAAATGGCTGTGCCAATTAAAAAGTTATACTGAGTGCAGCGAGTAATTACTATCCTATTCATTTGACACGGTGATTTCAGACTAAAAGTGTGAAATGTTTTCAATTATGATATGATAATCCAACTATAACGTTGTGAGTGACTTCGTTAAAGTTTGAATATTAAAACACATAGTAAAGGCATTGAAAGTGAACAATGTCTAACTGTTTTCAGAAAATAACAGTTAACATTTCATGACGTTATTTTACATACCATCTGATTCAATTTGGATATATTCTATTGACAAGAAAAGCAAGATGATATAATAGTAAATCACTATCTAATACGGATTTAGTTTGACAACGAGTGACATTTGTTTTAAAAATTATTTTCATGATAATAACTACTATACAAGATACTGTCTCTGACTGGAAAATAGGAAACATGATTTTATTGTTTGTAGCACTATTCATGATATCTCGCTCGCAGTCATATGCACTAACTGGTAAGTAGTTTTCCATCCATTCTTCTTTTATTAATTCATTCATTCATTCATCCTTCCATTTGTTCATTTATTCATTCATGCATGCATGCATTCATTCATTCATTCATTCATTCATTCATTCATTGTTTTCCATTCGTTCGATGTGTTTGAGCTTTTGATGTTTCCATTTGATAGGGGACTTCCGTTTTGAATTTTCCTTAGAGTTCGGTATTTTTATTATTTTACTTTATACTTTGAAGAATGAAAGAAAACTGTTTACCCCCATTTGCTAGAGCAAGCTCTTACTTTAATAGTTTCATTCCTTCCACTATAAGGTTTTGAAATAATCTTCCTCTAAGTATAAATTATATACCAATATGGAGCTATTTTCTTTCAGAACGATAGGTCTTTCTTTAAAAAAAAACAACCCGGACGATACTCAGTTTCAATGAAATGTGTAAGATCATTATGTTATCTGTTATCGTGTGTTGCTGCCAATTGGGGTTTTACTTTTCAATGTTCCATCATTAAGGCAGAAAAATTCTTTTCTCTGTTTATTAGACTGAACTACCAGAAAACGACACTTCGTACCAATTCTGAATTTTTTACAATTTATACATACCTTTTATTTTATCAAATGACGAAATATTCTCATTTTCCATAGGGGAACAGCCACATACTTTAATATTAGGGGAAAGGGGGGAGGGTGTTATAACATTTTATCCCGATTCTCAATATAAAAAAAAGGAGATGAGGTATGATTGCCAATGAGACAGTTTGAAAGAAAAATTGTACTGCCAGATAAAAGAGAGAAATCAGTTATTCTGAATATTTAGTTGAAAATAAGAAAATAAACAATATGTTTTTCCTCGGTAAAAATGTCATGTTACAAGAGAAATGAAACATAGCATCCTCCTTTATACAATATTATAAAGGTTATATTATATAAATAACACATATCTGAAAGGGTGATAGAGCAGATTGTTACCCGAGAAAACATTGTCAACTGAGGCGAAGCCAAGGTTGACAATGTTATTTCGAGGGGTACCAATCTGCTCTATCACCCTCTAAGCTATGTTTTATTTAATTTATTATACTGAATGTTCTATCATTATTGTCTTTTACTGTTGAATATTAAATTTAAAGTATTTTACTATGACGTCACGTACATAACAACTTTACAGGTATTAAAAAAATCAACAGAAGTGAAGCAAGATTTTTTTATTTTTTTTATTTTGACAGTCTATGAAAAAGTTCTGAGCCAAAATATAGAAATTAAGTATTGTCTTTAATTATTTGATGTACATTCAATTCATTGTCTTTTATTGGTCTTCCCGCTCAGCCATGGGATAGAGTAAATTATCTCCCTCGTATTAGCCAATCAAAATCTTGCATTTTAACGTGAAGTATAATAAAATAAATTACTTACACAGTGACTTGTATTTTTCATACACCGTAACAATTCATTTGTTTCTTGCTAAATGCAATTACAATTTAATTTTGAAAGTTTATATCTGTATTAATTGTTGCACAATCCTTTTCGCATCTGTAGAACTAAAATATTCAAAATCAAAAGTAATATGAAATGTTTTTTTCCCATTTTGTCGGTGAAAATGGTATTCTGCTTAATTTACACTCTGGGCGAAAATAAATATAGAATATGATATAAATTGATTAAAATAAAGCAATTTTGCCTCCCAGCAGCAAATGATATTTATATGTTTCCATGTTTTAATCGGCTTAATATTTATCCTGCAGATGAGTTGTCTCTTTGGCACTTTCAATATGTGTTGCAGACGGTTGGCAATCACTGTTTGTACTTTGTGTTTACAGATTTTCTAAATTCTGTCTGGTGCCATCCAGCTTCTCCCTTTATGATTACATAATGTTTTTGTACTAATTTAATATGATTATCAATTTCTCATCACTCATCAGTTTCATAATCATAGACCTGAAATTTACAACTGAGTAATACTGATATATCGGCTTTAGTGATGTTGCGTTAATGATATCACGTACTGTTACCCTACAAACATTGCTTTGAGTAAATATCATAAGGTTTATTAAATATTTTGTAACAATTTTTTTCCTTAAACCGTGGAAGTATTATATTGGTATCTATGTCATTTCCGTGCTTGAACTGATTGAATTACATTTAAACGTATTAAAGGGATATTCGACAGTCTATAGGTGAAATATTTAACTGATATGCAGT